AAAAGAAAATGTTTAAAAATAGGAGTCTGGGCCGAGCTTGGTGGTACATGCCTATATTCTCAGCACTCAGGAGGCTGAAGCTAGAGAATTGCTTCGAGTTTAAGGCCAGCCTGAACTCCATAGCCAAGACCTTGTCTCAAAAAACAAAACAAAATGCGAGGCATAGTGCCGCATGCCTGTAATCCCAGCACTCGGGAGACTGAGGCGGGAGGATTGCTGCGAGTTCGAGACCAGCCTGGGATACAAAGTGAGCTTAAGGCCAGTCTGAACTACATAGCAAGACCCTGTCTCAAAAAGACAAAAAAAGCAGAGGGTAAGGGAGCCTAAGGATGTAGTTCAGTATAAATGTTCAGTATAAAAGTGGTTGTCATTGTAGTTCAGTATAAAAGTCTTGGGTTCAAACTCTGGTACTGTTTTGCGCTTTTTTTTAATGCATTTTGCCAATATGGCAGACAGAAGCATTAGACTGGATGATCAAAGCGGGAGCTAACACCCCACCCCAGGGGCAGCCTTTTCTGTGGGGCTTCAGTGACATAGCCCTGTAGGGACAGCTGAGCTCCTGAGAGGCTCAGTGGACTGCTCCTGCTCAACCTAGGAGGGTGGGGAGCTGCTGGGAGCGCAGCTCCTCAGCCCACGTCCCATATCCAAGTCCCCTCACCTTCTGCTCACAGCATTTCCAACAAGGAGCTCTCGGAGCTGATTGAGCAGCTGCAGAAGAATGCGGACCAGGTGGAGAGGAACATCGTGGACACCGAGGCCAAGATGCAAAGTGTGAGTGCCCCCCAACACCAAGGGCTTCTCTGAATTAAGGTTCCTGCCCTGAATTAAGATTCTGCCCCCCCCCCCGGGGGACATGTGGCCATGTCAGGAGACATTTGTGGTTGTCATAGCTGTGTAAAGCCAGAGCTCCTGGTCCGTAGAGGTGGGGACCAGGGATACTGCTCAGCATCCTGCAGTGCACAGCATGGCTCCCATCCGAGAAAGATCCAGTCCCCCACATCACTCTGCTTGGGGTCAGGAAGTCCCCCTGCACGCAGCACATGGTCATGGGGGAGGAGGCTTCCAGGGACTGAGCTTTTGCTGCCTCCAATGAAGCTTTCCTGGTCTGGAAAAAGACCAGCCTTGGGGTCTGATGTGCCTCACCACTCCCGGTGTGACCTTGGGAGAATAAGTCACCTTTCCTCCCCACCGGGTGGTTCCCTCTGAGAGGGTAAGCGCCATCACCCCACCTGGGGCTTGTTGTGAAGGTTCCACAGGACTCTGTAGGCGCCAGGCAGGGTTCCTGTGATCCCCAGCCGCTTTCCACCCCTCACACATCTGCCACCAGGCTTGCCACGCAGGCTGCCCTCGTGCCTAGGTCTCCCTTTCTGAAACACAGGGAAAACGGTGGCTGGCAGACTCTCCTGAGGCTTGAGCACAGCATCTCTGCCCTGTCTGTGCCTACACACCAGCTTCTGAGCTGTCTGCCTTCTCAGTGCACATCTGGCCCAGCCCAGCCTTTCTGGGCTTCTACCCATTTCATAGCTGGAGAAACTGAGGTGGAAAAGGGCCAGGGTGACTAATCAGTGACAGACCTGGCCCCAGGGGCAGCCTGCAGGTGGGGCTGCCATACTGAGCAGAGAAAACAACACAGAAGGCCCAGCTACATTGGAATTTCAGAACACAAATGGAGTTTTAGGATCATAGGGCCCCGCAATGTTTGGGCTGCCTTATACTACCAAGTTATCCATTGTCACTCTAAAAGGCTGAGGCAGGAGAATTGCAAGTGTGAGCCTAGTCTGGACAACTTAACGACTTAGTGAGACCCTGTTTTAAAATGAAAACTAAAGAGGGTAGGGGATGTAGCTAAGTACAAAGGCCCTGGGTTCAATCCCCAGTACCTTTAAAAAATTGCTCTCTAGAATTCAGATTAACTTGCAGCCTGAATTTTATCTGGCATCTAAGTCTGGGGTGGTAATTAGGGTCCCACCAAGAGGGTTGGGCGCTAGGGGTGGAGAGGGCAAGGTTTGCCTGGCCCCACTGCTGTTCCAGGCTCAGGCAGGGTTGGTTCTCCCACCTTGGCCACCGCTAACGGCTTAGTTATTCACCCTGAGGGCATCTAGAGGCGTGAGGGGACAGGTTTGCACACACACACACACACGCACGCACATGCACTCACACACGCATGCACATGCACTCACACACTCACACACGTGTCCCTGCAGGTCCCATGTCTCCCTGGTCCTCCAGCTCTGGCTGCCCCAGGGCTGTGCCCAACCCCCCAACACACCTGGCCCCTCTTGCAGCCCCCACACAGCTGCTCTGTCTTCTCTTGGGTCTCCTCTCCCTCCATCCCCTGCTTGGTGTTTTCTCTTTCTAAAATGAAAAGCAGCTTGCATGCCTCTTTTTTCCCTCACAACAATAATGTGTTTGTTACAAACATTTCAGGGCAGATAGACAAGTTTAACAAAGTAAAATCCCACAGTGTTCCCCCGCCAAGGCATCTGTCAGCAAGAAACACATTGGTGTGTGTCCATCTGAGCGTCTCGTGTGAGTGTGCGTGTGAGTGTGACAGGGTCTGCCCCCCTCGTTGTATTTGCCAGGAAGAGTGACTCAAAGTAACAACAAGTCCTGGGAGGTCGTGTTGAACTGCTTTTCCGCTTCGATTCAGCAAGCCTTAAAGAGGAAGCCATGCTTTGAAGGCTGTGAGAACCAATCTTGTCTCTTCTTTTTCTCGAAGACATAATTAATTTTATTACCCAGATAATCTCCTGAATCTCTACCGTTTTTTCCCTTGACACTGAGGATAGAACCCAGGGCTTTGGAGGTGCACACCCCCCCCCCCGCCCCACCACCTTTTTTACTTTTGAGGCAGAGTCTCACTAAGTTGCTAAATTTCCCAGGCTGTGCTTGAACTTGTAGCTCTCCTGCCTCCACCTCCAAGGTTGCTGGGAATACAGGCATGGAGCACCACACCTGGCTTAAGAAACCTTGCATAGCGCATATAAAGCACATAGAAGTGTCAATATTTGAGTTCACCTCTGAAATTTTGCCTTAGTAAGTAGAGTCACCACTGCCCAGGCAGAATAGAGAGCATTTTCCAGAAAGCTCCTGGTGATCGCCCCAGTCCATATCCCCGAGAGGCCACCTCTCTGCTGACCTCTCTCTCTGTCAGTCAGTTTTGCTGACTTTAAACCCCCGTACGCCAACACAGCGTCCCTCGGCTGTTCTGGTCCTTTGTCCCAGTCGCACAGGTGTGTTGAGAGCTTGCTTTCTGTCCCCACCTGCCTGAATTAGGTAATGATTAATGGACTTCTCCTTCTGCAAAATTAATCTTTGCCACTGGGGCTGCCAGGGAGAGCTTCAGGTCAGCTGGGGAGGAAGGAGTGGATGAAATTCCACCCAAGCCAACAAGCATGCTGTTTTATTGTAATTAATTGGCCAGGCCAGCCCCAGGGTGTAGGGATGCTTGATTCCACTGGCTCTGACCCACGGGGCTTGTCTCCCAGCCCCCTCTGCGTTCCCTGAGTGGCCAGGAAAGGGTGGTCTGGACATCTTCTCTTTTCCAAGAGGAAGCTTTTTAATTAATTAATCAATCTGTCTAATTATCTAGCAGTATTGGGGATTGAGCCCAGGGCCTTCACCCTGAGCTACATCCTAATCTCCCGTTTTTCTTTTCTATTTTGAGACAAGGTGTTACTAAATTATTACATTGTGCAGGCTAGATTCAAACTTTTGATCCTCCTGCCTCAGCCTCCCAGAGTGCTGGGAGTATAGGAGTACACCACCAAGCCTGGCTCTACAGGAGGTAGCTGAGTCTTTATACCAGCTGTCACGTACCCATGCTCATTTCTTTTTTCTCTTCTGCCATTTCTTTTCTTTTCTTTTCTTTTCTTTTCTTTTCTTTTCTTTTCTTTTCTTTTCTTTCTTTCTTTCTTTCTTTCTTTCTTTCTTTCTTTCCTTCCTTCTTCTCTCTCTTTTTTTCTTTCCCTCTCCCTCTCCCTTCTCTCTCTCTTTCTCTCCCTCCCTCCCTCTCTCTCTCTTTCTATCTATCTATCTATCTCTTGGTCCTGGAGGTTGAATCCAGGGCCTCTCACCTGCTAAACATATTCTCTACCACTGAGCTATGCACCTCTCCTTCCTGGTCTGTTTTTAAGAGCTGTTTTGATGCATGTTCTACATATAAAATGCTCAGATTTCACGCATGGAAGGTCAGATTTTTAGGGCCTTTAGCAAATGTACAGCTGTTTCCTTGAATCAAGTCAGAACTTCTGGTCTCCCAGTAAGCTCTCTGGGCTGTTTCTATTCATGCATTTCCTGCCCTGCCACAGGCTGCCGCTCTCTCCTGTCTTGGAGTCTGCCTGTTGGGACATTTCACACAGATGGAATCATGCGCAGCCTGGCATCTGTGCCTGGCTTCTTTCACTTCATGTGTTTTTGAGATGTAGTGTGTCTTTTTTTCACTGAGCTGTGTCCCCCAATTTACTTTGCCTCTTGTTTTGGTGGTGGTAGGGATGGAATCCAGGACCTTTGCGTGCCAGGCGAGTGCTCCACCAGTGAGCCATACCCCGGCCCCTACTTTCTCTCTTTTCAAGATGGGTCTTGTCTTGCTCCTGATATAGAGATGGAAACCCAGAGACCAGCGACAGGGGCACTGGCTGCCCCTGGGTGCCTCAGTGTTGCTCTGCACTCAGTCTGCTCGGTGGAAGACTGGAGGCTTCACCTTGAAGCATCAATGGGCCTGCGTTATTGATTCCTCCCTTAAATCCACTCTGCATCCCTCTGGTCCTGTATGTTCTGGTCCCAGTGCAGCCCTTCTTTCCCGTGTCCCAGCCCATCCCTGCCCTCCAGCCACAGCAACCTTTTCACCAGGCCTTAACCATGGCTTGCTCTATCTTGCCTCAGGATCTTTGCACAGACAGTTGCCCCTGCCTACAACATAGTTCCTGCTATCCTTCTTTAGTTTGTGTCACTACCTCACCAGAGGGGGCTTCCCTGGCCAGTGGAGCTAAAATAGGGCCCCTCATTTCCTCTCTGGTGCATTTCCTTCACAAGTACGACCTGTGCTGAACTTGCAGTCACCTCTACGAGGCTAGCAGTCTCCCAGACTGGAGGGTGAGTGCCAAGCAAGTGGGGTCATGTCCTTTCCACTCCCAGCTGTGTACCCAGTGCCCAGCACATAGTACGTGTATTATTCGCTTTCTTGATGCTAGGACAAAATAATGATGCCTGCAAGTTAAAGGAGGAGCGGTATATTCGGCTCACAGTTTCAGTGGGTTTGGTCCTCAGTCAGCTGGCTCCAAGGCAGGAGCACCATGGTAGATGGGCCTGGAGAAAGAATGACTTCCAACCAGTCTCTGTCTCCTTAACAAGACTTTTTCAGGGGGTACATCTTAGATGTAGGCCGTAACAGTAGGTGTTTGAGCCCGTTTACTGAGGGACCAGAGGAAAGGCTGGAAGGAGCCAGGGGAACTGCTTGTTGCTGTCCTGCTCTGAGTCCTGCCTGCTGTCCCCTCTCGTGTGGCCCTTACAGGACGTGGCCCGGCTGCAGGAGGGCCAGCAGCCTGAGCACCAGGACGTGGCCTTGCAGAAGGTGTCAGACTCCGAGAAGCTGCTGTACATCCTGGAGGCAGACGCGGCCGTCGCCAAGCACATGAAGCACCCACAGGGGGACATGATTGCAGAGGAGTAGGTCCCCTCAACTCTGGGGCCCCGGGGAGCCTCTCTGGTCTGTGGACCAGGTGGCTACAGGAACCCAGCTGGGGCTTAGGGAGGGCTGACTGGATGATGCCAGCATGTGCCGGATGCTTGACCTTGTCCTCACGGAAGCCCTATTCTGCCGCTGGGGAAACCGAGGCTCAGAGAGTTGATGTCCCTTGTTCTGGTCCAAGCTCCCTGAGCTGTCATGCTGTGTGACCTCTTGAGTTTTGTAGTGAGTCCCCTCAAGGCCTGAGGCCCCTATTCTGACTCCCCAAACTTGTCCTTCACACCTTGGCTCGCCATGAGTGAATCAGCACCCCAACCCTGGCAAGGCAGCAATCTCTGGGACCCCACCACCCCCTTTTTCTTGTGCATAGTGGGCACACTTACGTGCCACTGCTGGATGGTGGGCTCCAAAACCTTCTGTGGCCTGGGCACATCATGACCCCCCAAGAAATGTTAATGGAGGAAGAAAGTTTGAGGTGCCTTGGACAGAAGGAGGGGAGAAGAATATAGTGATGGTTTAGAACCCAAGACCACCATGACCCTGTATTCCCAGTCCCTGAGCAGAAAGCCCAAGCTGGGGTCAGGTCCCTTCTGAGGCTCGGGCAGTGCTTCTGCCAACAAGCTGCACCAGTCCAGGGGTCCCTCTCCCCACTCAGCATCCGCCAGCTGAAGGAGCGTGTGGCCAACCTCCGTGGGAAACACAAGCAGGTCTACAGCCTGGTGGCGAAGGAGGTCAGCCCACAGGTCAACTGGGCAGCGCTGGTGGAGGAGAAGCTGGTATGTGGGCCGGGTGGGTGGGGGCACGGACAGAGCCACCATGGTGCTGCTGGGAGGGCTGGGTCCCCAGATCTCCTGACACTGTGATGATAAGAAAAATAAGACTCAGGGGAGGCCATTGCCAAGGTGGGAGCTGCACAGCAGATGCAGTGGAGATTCAGACCCTGCCCCCACTGAACCCCAGCTCATTGGAGTCCTGGCAGGGCTCTTGGGGCAGGCTGGGGGCAGTCTCCACTTCAGCTCCACCAAAGATCAACTCACAGCTGCTGCAGTGTTTTCACACTGAGGCCCTACTCGCTGGCTCTCAGTCTTGTGACCCTGGGCACGTGGCTTCTGCTTCCCCAGCCTCTGTTTCCCCATCTGTGATGTCGGAACAGTAGCTGTGCGGTCTTTTTGAAGTTTCTGTGAGACTAAGGATAGGCTCAGCAGGCGGGTGGTCAGCAGTACAGGTGCCTGTGGCCTCCCTGAGCACCTTTACGGACCCTGGCCACCCTGGAAGGAAGAGGTCGTTTTTCTAGTCTGGGGCATAGAACAGGCTCCAGGGAGAACTGCAAGCCCAGCCCCACCCACTCCTCTTGGCTTCTTCCCGCCACCAGGACAAGCTGAGCAGCCAAAGGTTCGGGACAGACCTGCCGCTGGTGGACAGCCAGGTGGAGCAGCACAACATCTTCCACAATGAGGTCAAGGCCATCGGGCCCCACGTGACCAAGAACGGGGACAAGGTGGGACACGCGGTGGTGCATGGAGAAGCCGGGAGGGCCCCCCCTACACCCTGACCCTGACCCTACCTACCCTTGGCTTTGCCCTCAGGAGCAGGACAGCGAGCTGCAGGCCAAGTACCAGAAACTGCTGGTGAGACCCCCTGGGACCACGGGATGGGAGCTCACGGGTCCTAGGGATCCCTTCCTCTCCTAAAGGCAGTGAGGGTGTGCAGTAAACAGTCCCCACTCAGCAGGAGGGGATTATGTGGAAAGAGACCATGCTCCAGCCCCTTCCTGAGAGGTGATCACGTGCCTTGTTGGCTTTGTGGAGACCCTGAGAGACCCCAGGGTACAGCCTGTCTTGCGATGTGCTTCTTATTTCTTTGTTAAGAACTTGCTCTGGGCCAAGTATATAATCCTTTCCTTCTGTTTTCTTTTTCAGACCATTAGAGAATACATCCTTTTTTTTTTTTTCCAATACTAGGGGATTGAACCCAGAGCCTTTATGCTGAGCTACATCTCCAACTCTTTTTCATTTTATTTTTTAAATTTATTTTGAGACAGGGTCTCACTAAGTCACTAAGTTGTCCAAGCTGGGTCTAAATTCAAGATCCTCCTGCTTCAGGCTCCCAGAGTGCTGGGATTATAGATCTGTGCCAGAATGCCCTCCCTTAAATTTTGAAACAGGGTCTCACTAAGTTACCCAAGCTGGGTTTGAACTTAGAATCATCCTGCCTTAGCCTCTTGATTATAGGCTTGTGGCAGCACACCGAGCAGAATGCATGTTCTTTAGCATTGCATAAGTGATCTGTAAATGCTCCCTTGTGGCAGAAAACACAGAGGCAGCTTCACGTAACAGGAGCCAGACTGCCACTACCCTTGCTTGTTGATTCTGACAACTTGATGCTTCTGCATCTGGAAAATGGAGTTCCCATGGAAATGCTCACAGGAAATGCTCACAGGAAATGCTCCAGCCCTGCTCACAGGGCTGCTAACATTTCAGAAGGTCTTGCCTCGGTCCTGGCCTACGGAGGGCCCTCTGCACACGTGAGCTGTGGTTCCTCTTCTCCGCCATAAGACTTCCAGATGCACCTTTCCCTTCAGCTTTCTAAACGTGATCACAATAAAGATAAAAGCATCATGGTGACGCACACCTGTAATTCCAGCACTCAGAGGCTGAGGCAGGAGAATTGCAAGTTCAAGCCCAGTTTGGACTTGAACTGAGTGACTTAGCAAGACCCTGTCTCAAAATAAAAACTAGAAAAAGGGAATGAAGCTCAATGTGAAGGCCCTGGGTTCAATTCCCAGCACCACAAAAAAAAAAGGTAAAAGTAGAACTTATTACCGCAGTTGATTGAGCACCAGCTGTATGCTAGTCTATGTGCCCTACATGTCAGCACTGCTGTTATCCTCATTTTACAGATGGGTAAATTGAGGCTTCAGGAAAATGTCAGTCCCATGAGCATTTTGCCAGTCTTCTTCACTGATCTGTCCCCAGTGCCTGGAGCCATGCCCAGCATGCAATAGATGCTCAGTAACCACTGGCTGAGTGAACAAGTGTCAGAGTCCAGCTTCTGGACTTGGGCTTGCCCCGGGTAGCCAGATCCTGACACTGCAGGAGTGGGAGGGAGGCCAGGCCCGACACTATCTGTCCCGACACCTGCAGGCAGCATCCCAGGCCCGACAGCAGCACTTGAGCTCACTGCAGGATTACATGCAACGCTGCACCAACGAGCTGTACTGGCTGGACCAGCAGGCCAAGGGCCGCATGCAGTATGACTGGAGCGACTGTAACCTTGACTACCCCAGCCGCCGGCGCCAGTACGAGGTGGGCACGGGCCTGGGGAGGGCCAGGAGGGGTATGGGGCTGCCAGGCAGGTGCTGAGTCTCTGTCCTCCTGCAGAATTTCATCCATCGGAACCTGGAAGCCAAAGAAGAGAGGATCAACAAGCTGCACAATGAGGGTGACCAGCTGCTGGTGGCTGAGCACCCTGGGAGGAACGCCATTGAGGTGAGTGTGCCCAGGGAAGGGGGCTGCTCTCAGTGGGGGCTCCTCTCCTGTGGCCTCTGCCTGTAGGCTGCCTGGAGTACGGCAGCCCTGGAGGTGAGGTCCCGGGATTGCATCCTGGTTTGTGTCTCTCCGTGTGGTTGACTCCATCTTGCTCCGACTCTGCCTCCCCTTGTCACCTTCATCCTTCGCCATGTCCTGCCTCACCCCCAGACTCCTGAAGCACCCGCATGGCTTACTTCCGGGGCTGTTGTACTGAATTCCTATAACCTAAGTGGCTTTACACAGCAGATGTGTGAGCCCGTTGTCGTGGCCGGAAGTATGAAATCCACATGTGGGCGGGCTGTACTACCTTGCGGGAGACGTTTCCCACTTCTTCCCACGTCTGGAGTATTGGCCATCTCCAGTGCCATGTCTGTGTTTGCTCCTCTCGTTTGTTTGTTTTTCTTTTAGTACTGGAGATTGAACACAGGGCCTTGACACTGAGATATATCCCTAGCTCATCCCTAAAAATTTTTGAAACAAGATCTCCCTAAGTTGCCCAGGGCTGGGCCCAAACTTGGAATCCTCCTATTTCAGTTGTCCCAGGTTCCGGGACGTTAGTCATTTCATTTAGGGCCACCCTATTTCTAGGATGATTTCATCTTGATATTCTCACCTGGTCAATCTGCGACAACCCTGTTTTCACATAAGGCCACATTTTGAGTTCTAGGTGGACATGAACTTTAGGAGGACACTCAAGCCCCTGTAATACCTTTGTGAGAATTTTTTAAAGGTACTGCTCAGCTGACCCAGTCCCTGCTTGCCCCTTGGGCAGTGCACAAGCTGAGCATCTGTACATGGCAGCCCCCTTTGGCTCCTCGACATGCTTCCTCCCTTCCTCCTACCCCTGAGCAGGGCCTGTCTACCTCTGTGGGATCTGTCTCCAGACAGATAGGAGATACCTCCCTCCCTTCCTGCTCCCTGGCCCAGAACCCCACCAATCCCTCCTTTGATGTGTGGTGACTGGCTCCCTCTTTCCCTGGCAGGCACACATGGAGGCCGTGCATGCGGACTGGAAGGAGTACCTGAACCTGCTCATCTGTGAGGAGAGCCACCTGAAGTTCATGGAGGACTACCACCAGGTACCACCTGCCCACACCCCTACGCCAGGGGTACCATGTGCCTCACATGGCCTTGAAGTCACGGAGATGCCTCCCCGCCCCCATCCCTGATGTTGTACACAGTATGTCCCCGGCTTGCTGAGCACTTCCCTGGGGACCGAGGAGAGGGAGTTTCATTCAGAAGATCAGGCTGGGGCCCAGGAATAAGTGTGTAGCTTTTAATTTTGATAACTATATGTAACATAAAACTTGCCACTTTAGTGATCCCCCCCTTTTTGAGACAGGGTCTCACTCTGTTACCCAGGCTGGCCTCCAACTCCTGGGCTCAAGCTAACCCCCTGCCTCAGCATCCTGAGAAGCTGGGCTACAGGCATGTGTCCCTGCACTGGGCTTATTTTAGCCAATATTAAGTGTATAGTTGATTGCATTCACGATACCGTGCAACTATTACCTCTTGCTGAGCACGGTGGCCTTAGGATTCACGTGTGTTGCAGCCCGCATCAGTACCACATTCCTTTGTATGTCTGGGCAGTCTCCAGTACAGGTGGTCAGCGGCACTGGGGCTATTAGCAGGTGCTTATTTCCAGAGGTTAAGTGTTTTAAACAAGAGCTGCAGGTGACTCTTGTGACGGGTTTAGAGATCGAAACATGAACTCAGATGACACCATAACTCCTGGTTGGGCATCTGAGTCACTCTGTGGGCTTTTTAGGGATCTCACTCCAGGCTGCGGCCCAAGTGTCCAGTCCAGGGAGCAGCAGACAATGAATGAATTGAAAGTTGATGGCTGAAAGAAGGCAGAACTTTTAAGAACAAAAGGAGGGACGCATAGTAAGGCTCAAGATGAGAGCACAGTCACACGCTGTTTAGTGATAGGAGATGGGATGTGAGAAATGTGTCATTATGCAATTTTGCCACTGAGTAAACATTATAGAGTGCACTTACACAAACTGAAATGGCTACGATGTCAGTAGGTGATAGATTGTGGTGTGTGGTTGACCAGGATATCATCATGTGCCCCAAGACTATATGGTGTTGTCAGGGTGTTCTTAGCATAGAGAGGAATGGAGTAAAAGAAAGCCTAACCTTTGGGTGTGGTGAGACCTTGCCTCAAAATATATATATATAAGGCTGGGGATGTAGCTCAGTGCTCTCTGGACTCAGTCACCACCAAAAAAAAAAAAAAATCTCAACTTACTAGACTATAAACTGCAATTCAGTACATCCTAGCGGTGCTGTCTTGTGGCTTGGTGAGAAGGAGCCGGCTTCTTCCCATGAGGCCCCCAGGAGCCAAGCAGGCAAGGGAGGGAAGGGATGTCCTGAGATTTGCAGAGGGTCCCATCTTGGATCTAGGATGCATGGGAAGCCGGGCCCACCTGAGACTGAGCTTGACACCAAAACCGAGGGACTGCTGGTGGCTTCCTATCTGTGACAGGGCTACCTGTTCTTCCCCAGTTCCACAGAGATGTGAAGGATGCCCAGGAGTTGCTGCACAAAGTGGACTCGGACCTGAACCAAAAATACAGCCCTGACTTCAAAGACCGGTACCAGATAGAGCTGCTGCTGCGGGAACTGGACGTAAGTGGTGGTGGGGATCTTCCCATACCCCACCCACCCTTGCCCAAGCAGCCTCAGGGCGCCCACCCACCCCAGGCCAGGCTGCTGGTCCCACCCTGGCCTTGCTGCCCACAGGACCAGGAGAAGGCACTGGACAAGTACGAGGATGTGGTGCGGGGGCTGCAGAAGCGCGGGCAGCAGGTGGTGCCACTCAAGTACCGCCGGGAGACGCCCCTCAAGCCCATTCCTGTGGAGGCGCTCTGTGACTTTGAGGGTGACCAGGTAAGCTGCTTCCTGAGCCCCAGGCAGTCTGGGCCCAGGTCACTGAAATCTTCAGGGGCTCATGGCTGGATCCAGGGCCTGCCTGGATCACTTTGCTGGCCCTATTTCTCATGGCAATAGCTACACACTCCCCATATCCTGCCCGAGACGCCTGGCCTTTCATTCAACCAGCTTAGCCACCAAAGTCCCAGGGAAGCTTCTCATTGACCCACTTGAGTCATGGGTCCCCCAACCAGTCACTGGCCAGGGAATGGCAGCCTCTCATTGGCCAGACCTGAGTCACATGTCCACCTAGAAAGGATGAGGCCACATGGCTTAGGAATGGGTAGAGGTGGCTTCTCAGTGGGAAATCAAGGTGAGTGTGGGGCTGCAGACCAGCATATACTCCCTTTGTGCCGGCCCCTCTCAACTGTCTCTGGGCAGGCATCTTGGGGAGCATCTGAGAGATGGGCTGAGGCTCCCCCAACCCATGAGTGAGGGGATTGGCGAGTGACTAGGCTCCCTGGCATGGACCGAGGGTCCCTCATCTCCTGTGTTGTCTGCTCCTACCAGGGCCCCATCTCTCGAGGCTACAGCTACACCCTTCAGAAGAACAATGGGGAGACCTGGGAGCTTACAGACAGCACTGGGAACAAACTGACGGCCCCGGCCGTTTGCTTCATGATCCCCCCTACGGACCCTGAGGCCCTGGCTCTGGTGGACAGGTATGAGGGCACAGGAGGAACCAGCGTGGACTGGCCCTGCTCCCATCCTCCTCAGGCTCCCTTGACAGCCCTGGCCTTCATGATTTGGTTGTGATGCCCCAGTCCTGCGACCCCTTAGGGACTCAAGCGGGAGGGGCCAAAACTATTGGCTCTGCTGACTTCTGACTTGGATGTTCAGCTACAGGCCTGGACACTGAGCACCTTCTTAGTGCCTCTGGGCCTTTGCACATGCTGTTCCTTCTGCTGGTGACATCCTCCTTACTGCCCAACTGACTTGACGCCAGTTCTCTCCCTTCCTCTTTGTGCACCTTTGTCCACTGCATGCACCACAGTTTACTAAAATGATTTGCACATGCACCAGTCTTGTTGGACCTAGGCACCTTGGTCAGTACGTGCAGGACCTAGTTCAGTACCTGGTGTAAAGTGGGCACCCAAGGACTCTATAAAGAATAAGCGAATGTCTCAGGAGTGACTGTACTGAGCACCTACTGTATACTGCTCCCTCAGAGGCCACATCTTGATAGCGAAGACTGGTAGCAAGCAGATCATTTAGATACTAAGCTCTCGAGGAGAAAAGGAAGGGTGAGAAGGGGAAGGGAACATGGAGGGCCTCCCCGCACTCAGGAGCAGGTGGACCCACGTCACAGTAGGCCCTTGCTGTTTGCATTATTTCTAGCTTTTCAAAGCACTCTGATGAACACCTTGGCTCCTCTGGGTTATTTGCCCAGACAAAGTTCAGGGTTCTGCTTCTGAGGGTGGTGGGCAGTGGGCTCCAGGGTCCGCATCGTGTTCCTGCCCTCACAGCCTGGGCAGCCAGTACCGGAGTGTGCGGCAGAAGGCAGCCGGGAGCAAGCGCATGCTGCAGCAGCGGCACGAGGTGCTGAAGGCAGACAGCCGTGGGGGTGAGTGCAGGGCCACGTCAGGGGCTGGGGCAGGGAGGACAGGCCAGATTGCATGGGTGTGGGATGGTGGGGGTCTGGTCGCGAAGGGAAGGGGGTCAGGCTGCCTTCTGCCACCCACTGTCACCCCTAACTGTATGTCCTCTCTCCAACAGATGCCTCTGACCTGCAGGGGCGGCAGCTGTTGGCTGGCTTGGACAAGGTGGCCAGCGACCTAGACCGACAGGAGAAGGCCATCACAGGAATCCTGCGGCCACCACTGGAGCAGGGCCGGGCCGTGCAGGACAGTGCTGAGCGGGCCAAGGACCTGAAGGTACTGCCGGGCTGGGGCACAGGCTGGCCCCGGTTCACTGAGTCCTCTCTTGAAGGTCTTATTGCTGTGGGATCTTGGAACATTCATGAGAGATGGTAGCCTGTCATAATAACCAGCCCCTGAGTCATGGAGGTGGCAGGGGCCATTTCTGACACTCCCTGGGGGCTAAACCAAGGACCAGGCTCCGAAGCGGTGCCTAGTTCTGGTACTCCAGCACACCTCCATGATGCGAGCTGGGTGCTGGCTCTATGTAGCAGGTCGGTGTCCTGGGGCTGTAGCCATAACAGTGACAGTAGCAACTGGGACCCACGCGAGCAAGAGGCTGTAGGCCAGGTGGCACGTGGGCTCTGGAATTGCAGAGCTGGATCACTAGGTACTTGTCCAGAGCCCCAGAGCCTCCGACTCCAAAGTGAGGGGCTGCTGGAGGGTGGTGCAAGGTATAGGCAACACTGTCTATCACTGCCACCTTTGCCTTTTGTGTGAGTCCTCCCACAGCAGGGGTGGAATCATCACTGTGGCTTCACAGAGGAACACCGTGTGTGTTTAGAGAAGTGCAGTAGGCCCTGGCATGGCCTCACAGCCGGTTGGGTCAAGGGGATTGAGGGGGGGCAGGGATGAAGCATGAGGCCGTGGAGAGGGGCACTTAGTCCCACCACATCCATTTCTAGGCTCTTTGGGATTGTGGGGGCCCCAGCTGTGAATGGGAGATGACAGTACCAACCTTGGGTATCCCCAGAGTCCGTGGAACCATCCATGTGAAGACTTAGAGCAGAGACTGTTCAGCGATTGCTTGGTCATTGTCTGCATCACTCTCATGACTCACAGTCCACCCACCTCACAGCTCTGTGGGCTGCTCCTGAAAACTGCAGACCACTGGTGTGGGGGCACACACCTGGAATGCCAGCACCCTGAGAGGCTGAGGCAGGAGGATTGCAAGTTCAGGGCCAGCCTGGGGAATTTAGTGACTTAGTAAGACCCTGCCTCAAAAATATTAAAAAGGATTAAGGATGTAGCTCAGTGCAAAGATGCACAGTTTAACATCCAGGACCACAAAAAACAAAAACAAAAGCAGACTGGTAAGCCAGTGCCCAGATCCCATAAGAGTCCCCAGAGTGGGCCAGGCCACTTGCACTGTCCCTAAAGAACAGAACTCTTCATTTCCACTCGGGGTACACCCTTGGGGGAAAGGGGCCCTGGGTCATGGCTAATTCGGGATCTGATCCTCACAGAACATCACCAACGAGCTGCTGCGGATAGAGCCCGAGAAGGTGCGGAGCACAGCCGAGTGCGAGGCCTTTGTCCAGGCCCTCCCGGGCAGCGGCACTGCACCCTTGCTGAGGACCCGGGTGGAGGACACCAACCGGAAATATGAGCACCTCACGCAGCTGCTGGATTTGGCCCAGGAGAAGTGGGTGGCAGACAGACCCGAGGGAGGTGGGGGTGGGGTCAGGGAGCCACCCCCGACTCCTGACCTGTGCCCTCAGGATTGATGTGGCCAACCGACTGGAGAAGAGTCTGCAGCAGGGCCGGGAGCTCCTGGCCTCCCATGAGAACCGGCTGACCCAGGATGACACAGTGCCTGAGAACAGCTCTGTCTTGGATGGCAAGAGGCAGGAGCTAGAGGTGAATATGAGACCTGAGTCCCTCATATTGGGACCTTTCTCTGAGCTGGGTGAGAGGCTCAGGCCATCCGCCTCCCACTCCCTCCTTGAGACAGATGAGAGCACCCCAAGAGGGCTCTAGGAGCCAGTCCCTGGTGTACGTCATACCAGGGTGGAGTCACAAATGGAGACCCGTGGCTCTGATGCCAGCTGCTCATGGTTTGCAGCCTGGGGTGCTGGTATTTTACTATCGAGGATCTGCATAAAACCCAGGTTCCCAGCATCTCTTGCACAGATCTACCAGCCTGAGCCCACAGCCCAGTAGTTCTGCATCTTCGCCATCACCCTGGGCCCACATACAACGCACATGTGCCTGCCAGAGCACTAGAGGCACTCGGAGTCTGTGGTCCACAACAGCCTCTTATTCATGGTCCGTCCTGTGCCTGGGCCTCAGGAACAAGGAAATGGGCCCGGCAAAGGCCTCACAGCCAGAGAGCGGAAGGCCTGCCCAGGTTGGGGCACATGCTGCCCACCCGTGAGGTTTTTCTTTTTTTTTTTTTTTTTTTTTTGAGACAGGGTCTCACTATGCGGTTCAGGCTGGTCTTGAACTCACTTTGTAGCCGAGGCTGGCCTCAAACTCACAGCGATCCTCCTGCCTCAGCCTCCCATGCCCAGCTCTCATGAGTTTTAAGAAGTGAATTTTTTGGAGTTGTGTTTTTGTAACAAAGGACTCTGAAGAGTGACCAGGTCTGAGAAGCACAGAGGCGCAGTCCATTCACCCCATTCCTGGCTTGATCCCTCCCAACACACGTGACCCAATATTCTGGGCAGTGTTCACTGGCTGCTGGGAGCTCCAGCCACAGCAATGCTGTCTCCTCCTTCCACAGGCCATGGCTTCTGAGCTGCAGGCCCAGAAGTTCCTCCTGGGTGAGGTAGAACAGAACCTGCAGGCTGCGAAGCAGTGCTCAAACACGTTGGCCAGCCGCTTCCAGGAGCACTGCCCCGACCTGGAGCGCCAGGAAACAGAGGTGCACAAGCTTGGCCAGAGGTTCGACAACCTGCGCCAGCAGCTGGAGCGCAGGTGAGGGGCACTGTGGTGGGCGGGGCCTGGTGCAGCCAGTCTGCCCTGGAGCACCAGGCTGAGACCCTCTGATGCTACCAGACTGTCCTCTTTTTGAAAACAACATATATAGCCAGGTGTGAGGGGACACCTATAACCCCAGAACTCTGGGAAACTGAGGCAGGAGCTCCAGCCCAACCTGGACAACTTAGTGAGGCCCTGTCTCATGATAAAAAGTCAAGGGGAAGGCCTCAGTGCAAAGGCCCTGGGTACAAAAAAATTAATTAGTTAATTAAAATAAATACGCACACAAAGTAGGAAATTCAGTGACTTATACAGTGTCATCCTTCCACATGTGACATCCACTAGCTGGGCACGTAGGAAGGGATGTGTATGGTGACATCTGTGTATGCTGCTGCTTGTCACTCTTCCTGTCCTGTATTTCTCCAGCCTCCTGAGACAGAGATGGTTATGTCTTTCTCTTCTGTTTTTTTGTGAGTTTGTGTAGAATTGGTTTCTTCCTTAACTATGCGGTAGAGTTCACCACATAGTTCAAGCTGTCTGGTCCTGCAGTTCTTTTGTTTGAGGTATTTGCCTATAGATTCAACCCCTTTAATAGATGTCAGACTAATTGGGGCAACAGTTCTTGAATTAACATCCATAATCTGTGTCTTTGAAGGAATTTGTCCATTTCATGTAAGTTGAATTTATTGGCAAAGTTCACTACAGTTGTTTTCCTGGTATCCTTTCAACTTTTACAGTGTCTGAGGTAATGCTCTACCTTCACTCCTTTCTTTTTTTTTTTTTTTTTTTTTTTTTTTTTTTTGGTACTGGGGATTGAACTCAGGGCATCACATTTGCCAGGCAGGCGCTGTGCCACTGAGCCACATCCCCGGTCCTCTACCTTCACTCCTGATGTCATTGCTTCTTTTATTGTATTTGCATCTTTTTAAAAAATTGCTCAGTGGTTGATCAGTGTATTGATCATTTCAAAGGACTTGCTTTTTTTTTTCTTTTTTGGAGACAGGATCTTGCTCTGTAGTTCAGGCTGGCCTTGAACTCACTATGTAACCCAAGCTGGCCTCAAACTCATGGCAAGTCTCCTGCCTCAGCCTCCCAGGTACTGGGATCATGGCATGCTCCACCATGCCTGGCCTAGAATTAGCTTTTTTTGATTCCAGTGATTTCTCTCTCCTGTTTCCTAGTTCCTATTTCATTGACTTCCTTTCTGCTGTTTATGTTAGGTTTAATTTGTACTTCCTTTTCTCTCTTCACTTGGGAGCTTGGATGGTTGGTCTGAGATAGTGTTTTTAAAATATAATTTTAAAATTATATTTAATAATTTAATGCTATATGGTTACCTCTAAAATTATATTTAATAATTTAAATGCTGTATGGTTACCTCTAAACAGTACTTTTGCTGCCTCTCACACTTTTGCTATTTTCCTGTCAGTGAGTTGGTGAGATTTCCTGAGCTCCCTGTGGTTTCTCTTCAGACTCGGGTTGTCAAGGTCCTGTAAGTGCGCAGTGGGCACCTCTGCCCCTCCGTACACAGACGCTGTACCCTCCACCTTAACGCTTTCTGATGACTTCTGATGCATATTTAGGGTTTGCCCCAGTAATTTTGCTTTTTCCCTATTTTCTTTAACAAATGAGGGCTCAGTGAGGCCTCTCCTTGCTGTGAGAGTGAGAGTCAGCCACGCACACTGACTGACTTTACCCTGCAGGGCCCAGAGCCTGCAGAGTGCCAGGGACGCTTATGATGAGTACCGCTGTGGCTATGACCATATGCTCCAGTTCCTGTCCAGCATCCCCAGCTATGAGCCCCAGGAGACGGACAGCCTCAGCCAGGTGGAGACAAAGCTGAAGAACCAGAAGGTAGGATATCTGCATCTGCTTCTGCAGGCACACGGTGGCCGGGAAGGTCAGAGGACAGCGAGCCCCTTTCCAGGGAGGGAGCAAAGCCCTGACTAAGCTGTCCTCTCTGGCACTAGGTGCTCAGTACCTGGCTTAGCACAAGCACTGTGTATGTGTTGCCCACCTGTGTCTCTTCAGTGCCCAGCCCAGGGCCTGGCCCCACAGACACCCATGTGGCTTGACCATGTGGTGAATGGCTACAGCAACACAAAATGAGGCCAATCCCATCCCAAAGTTCTACTTCCGGTTTCCTCAGTGCCCCAAGCAATGCCTTCAGATTAGGGATGAAGAAACTGAGCATCCAGTGACAGACATTCAGATCCTGGGTCAGCCTGCCCAGGAGCATCCTCCCTGTGCCTTGGTTTCCTTGTCTGTAAACTACAGACCGTGCTTACCTCAAAGGACCATCTGAAGATTAAATGAGATAGTCTAAGGACAGTTATCAGAGCAGTGTCTGGCATTTCAAAGCATGCAACAAACACTTGCTTCCTGGCAAAGGTAACTATCTTCTCGGCCCTTCTTCACGGGGCCTTAGAATTTGGCCTTTTGTAGTGAACAAATGTACACAAGAAAGCCATTCATTATGCTTTGTACTACAACAGGATAATTTCAGGTTCTACGGACTTCTGTTACTATATCAGTAAAGTTTGGGATTGTTTTGTTTTGTTTTGTTTTAGTTTCTAAGGCCTCTTGTTTTACAGAATCTGCTAGATGAGATAGCAAACAGGGAACAGGAAGTCCAGAAGGTCTATGCCAGTTCCCAGCAGTACCAGCAAGCTGTAAAGGTGAGCCATGAAGTCTGCCCAGGGACACACAGCAGGGGTCTCTTTCCACCCAGGAACCCAGACCGAGGAGCACAGGCTCTGGTATGGTTAGTGTCATCCTCAGGCTCTGTCAGCAGCTGTGCAGACTGGCACAGACCTTTGGGAAAACAATCTGGTACTCGGCAGCAAATACCCTGAAACCTTTATATTCTTTGAAGCAGTAAACTCTTTGAGGGGAGGAGTTTATCTTAAAGGTAGAAGCACAAAAGAATAATGCAGGATAAACAAACTCATGTAGCAGCACTATTTACAACGGGAAAGCAAACTAGAAATACTAGAAATGACCTAAATGTCCAATAGCAGAGGAATGGCTGTGTGAATTATCACATGTCCACTTGATGGATTATGAAATCAGCAATCTGGGAAACACGAAGGTGGGTGATGGTAACATGAAGAAAGGGTTATGGTCCAGTGTTCAGTGAAGAAGCAGAAGCAAAATGTCAGATCTTCTGGCCTGTCCAAAGGCCTGGAAGGGACACTCCGTTTGCCTCTTTGTGGTTGGAAGGGAACAGGGGTATGTTGTTGATAGAGCAACAGCTGTCGATGCCATAGTCATTCCTGCTGCCTCCTGGCATGCAGCTGTGAGAAAGACCCGTGCAGACTCTAAAACCAGCCTCTGGCCAAGGGTGTCTTCTTGGCTGCTCTTACCTGCCCTCTGCACTGTTTCTCCCTCTCTCACCCAGGACTATGAGTTAGAAGCAGAGAAACTCAGGTCCCTTCTTGACCTGGAGAATGGAAGGAACAGCCATATGAGCAAGAGAGCCAGACTGCAGTCTCCTGCTGCCAAAGTGAAGGAGGAGGTGAGCTGTGCATGCTGGTGTGTCCAGGGTGGAAGTGGAGGGTGGGCTGCCTGGCTGTCCAGGGTGCTGCCTACACCATCAGCTATAAACACGTGCCCGGGAAACCAGCCGGGCAGGAGCCCTCCCGGGTATGGACAGGTCTGGAAGAAGATAGGGAACTTTTCTGTGGCAGCAACGTCGTTATGCCTAGGACAGCCTGGCGGGAGTTTCTGGTCAGCGCCACGGATTTGGGAGGTTCCCACCTTGCTCCCCTCAGTAAATGTAGGACCAGTACTATTAGCCTCTGACATACATGAGGACAGTGAGGCTCAGAGACTTCCTCAAAGCCACTGGGATCCAGATGGAAACTGGGGCCTTCTGATTGAGTCCCTTTCTCTACAATGAGACTAGAATGGCTACAGGTAGGAATGGGCAAGCAGCAGCTCCCTGGCTCTTGCTCACTTAGCGTGTGTTTGCTGACCGCTCTTCTAAAACTTCTCTGTAGGAGGCTGCTCTTGCTGCCAAGTTCACAGAAGTCAATGCCATCAACAAACAGAGGCTGCAGAATCTGGAGTTTGCACTGAATCTCTTGAGACAGGTAATGAATGCATCTTAGTAAGAAATTCTACTGGAAACTTCTCCCAAGTGAGAAAAGAAGGACCTCCTAGCCAGGCATAGTGGTGCAGGCCTGTCATCTCAGCACTCTGGAAGCAGAGGCAGGAGGATTGCTATGAGTCTGAGGCCAGCCTGAGCTACATAGTCAGTTCAAGGCCAGCCTGAACTATACAGCAAGACTCTGTTTCAAAAACAAAACAAAAAAAAGGACCCTCCTGCCTCAGAGACATGGCTGTCACTTCTGGGCAGTACCAGTGCAAGTACCAAGCTACACTGACAGGATAACTTATGTATTCAATTCAATAAATGTTTGCTGAGGACCTAAAAAAAGTTATTTTTAAAAATCCGTAATCTATGACTGCCATAGCGAGAAACTGGAAGCAGCTCAACACTCAGCAGCAGTGGGCTGGTTAAATGGTGTCCGCACGTGGAGTACCATGCTGCTGTGAAGAGACGAAACTGCACTCAGTGCCAAGGGGAACTCTGCCTCCCGTGAAGGTGATAAGCAGCAGGTACAGAACAGGAGACTACTGTGTGAGGAGAAAAGGCAAACACATGGAGTATACTAAATACACACATGCTGATGACAGCCATCCCCAGGGGCAGGACCAGAGACGGGAGACTGAGGTTTCACTTCAAACTCCTCTGCAGCTGTCAAGTATTTTGCCTCATTTAATTTCAAAAAGTTAAACTGTTGTTTGGCCACTTTTAAAAGTAACCTTAGAACTCTGGTGGAATCCTGCAGGGATCATCAGATGACCAATCTGACCTGTTCCCAGGTGAGCAGATCTGTTCTGGCTCTAACCATGTGTTGTCCTCTTCCATCACAGCAGCCAGAAGCAGAAGCGGCCCACGAAACCCTGCAGGGGAGCAAGCTGGGCTCTGGTGTGGACGAGGTGTGGAAGATCAGGAAGGAACTGGATGAGGAAAGTGAGCGGAGACAACAGCTGGAGAATGAGGTCAAAAGCACCCAGGAGGAAATCTGGACACTGCAGAATCAGGGGCCTCAGGAGTCACTGGTGATGAAGGAGGTACGGAAGAAGGTTCCAGACCCTGCTCTAGAGGAGAGCTTCCAGCAGCTACAGCAGACCCTGGCAGAGGAGCAGCACAAGAACCAGCTACTGCAGGAAGAGCTGGAGGCACTGCAGTTACAGCTGCGTGCCCTGGAGCAGGAGACCAGGGACGGTGGGCAGGAGTATGTGGTCAAGGAGGTCCTGCGCATCGCTCCTGACAGAACGCAGGCAGATGAGGTCCTGCAGCTGCGGGAGGAACTGGAGACACTGAGGCGGCAGAAGTGTGCCCGGGAGGCAGAGGTGCTCCTCCTGCAGCAACGCGTGGCGGCCCTGGCTGAAGAAAAGAGCCAGGTGCAGGAGACCGTCACTGAGAAGGAAGTGGTAAAGTTGCAGAACGACCCCCAGCTGGAAGCAGAGTACCGGCAGCTGCAGGAGCAGCAGCAGCGGGAAAGCATACTCCGGGATAAGCAAGAGGAGGAGCTGAGCTTCCTGCAGGCCAAGCTCAGGAGGCTGGAGAAGGAGCGGGCTATGGCTGAGGGTAAGATCACTGTTAAGGAGGTGCTCAAGGTGGAGAAGGACACAGCCACTGAAAGAGAGGTTAGAGACCTTACCTGCCAGTATGAGGATGAAGCTGCCAAGGCCCGCGCCAACCAGCGGGAGAAGATGGAGCTACTGCAAAAGATATGGGCCTTGGAGAACACCAAAGTGGTGGTGCAGGAGAAAGTTCGGGAGATTGTGCGGCCAGACCCCAAGGCAGAGAGCGAAGTGGCCAACCTCCGTCTGGAGCTGGTAGAGCAGGAGCGGAAGTACAGGGGTGCCGAGGAGCAGCTCAAGAGCTACCAGAGCGAACTGGAGGCCCTCCGGAAGCGGGGCCCACAGGTGGAAGTCAAAGAGGTGACCAAAGAAGTCATTAAGTACACAACTGACCCCGAGATCGAGAAGGAGCTCCAGCGGCTCAGGGAGGAAATTGTGGACAAGACCAGGCTGATTGAAAGATGTGATCTAGAGATCTACCAGCTGAAGCAAGAAATCCAGTCCCTGAAAGATGCCAAGCCACAGGTCCAGACCAGAGAGATAGTACAGGAGATCCTCCAGTTCCATGAAGACCCGCAAACCAAAGAGGAGGTAGAGTCTCTGCGGGCAAAGCTGTCGGAAGAGCAGAAGAAGCAGGTGGACTTGGAGAGGGAGCGGGCATCCCAGGAAGAGAAGATCAATTGCAAGGAGAAGGAGCTCTTGCAGGGGAAGGAGAGAGTAGTGCGCCAGGAGGTGGTGCAGTATGAGGAAGAGCCTGGCTTACGGGCCGAGGTGAGCTCCTTCACCGACAGCATTGATGCAGAGCTGCGGCAGATCGACAAGCTGCGTGCAGAACTGAGGCGGCTGCAGCGGAGGCGCGGGGAGCTGGAGAGGCAGCTGGAGGAGCTGGAGCGTGAGCGGCAGGCACGCAGAGCAGCTGAGCTGGAGGTGCAGCGTCTGCGGCAGCAGTTGGCTGCCCTGGAGCATGAAGAGGCTGAGGCTGGTGAGAAGGTGACCCGAAAGCAGAAGGTGGTGCTGCAGCAGGACCCAAACCAGACCAGGGAGCACGCCCTGCTCCGAGCCCAGCTGGAGGAGGAGCAGCACCGGCGGCAACTGTTGGAGGGGGAGCTGGAGCCCTTGCGCAGGAAGCTGGCCACCCTGGAGAAGGCAGAGGTCAAGGAGAAGGTAGTCTTCTCAGAAAGCATACAGGTAGAGAAGGGTGACACTGAGCAAGAGATCCAGAAGCTCAAGAAGAGCCTGGAGGAGGAGACCCAGAGCAAGAGGGAGTTGGATGCTGAGGTGACTAGGCTGGAAGCCAAACTATCAGAGCTAGAATTCTATAACTCCAAATCCTCCAAGGAACTGGACTTCCTAAGGGAAGAAAACCACAAATTACAGCTGGAGCGGCAAAACCTGCAGCTGGAGACCCGGAGGCTTCAATCCGAAATTGAAATGGCAGCAACAGAAACACGAGACCTGCAGAACACAACCACCACAGACTCTGGGGCTAACCTCGACTCCAGACTGTGGTCTCTGGAGAGAGAACTAGATGATCTCAAGAGGCTGTCCAGGGATAAAGACCTTGAGATCGATGAGCTGCAGAAGCGCCTGGGCTCCGTGGCCATCAAGAGAGAGCAAAGGGAGAATCACCTTCGGCGCTCCATTGTGGTCATTGACCCTGACACAGGCCGTGAGCTGTCCCCAGAGGAGGCCCACCGGGCTGGGCTCATCGACTGGAACATGTTCGTGAAACTCAGAAGCCAAGAGTGCGACTGGGAGGAGATATCTGTGAAGGGTCCCAATGGGGAGTCCTCGGTGATACATGACAGGAAGTCTGGCAAGAAGTTCTCTATCGAGGAAGCCCTGCAGAATGGCAGACTCACCCCTGCTCAGTATGACTGCTACGTCAACAAGGATATGTCCATTCAGGAGCTGGCTGTCTTGGTATCTGGGCAGAAATAGGCCCAGCCTTTCTACCCATCCCTTCTTAGAAGTAGATGGCTGGCTTGCTCCTACCCAGCAACCTCCTGGGTATCTTTTTCTCCCTGGCCCTTGTGTAGGCTCCTAGTCTGTGCTGTTTTATCCATGCCCTCTGTATCAGACTGCTCAGATTACAGCTCTTGTGTGAGTGGGAGGGGCACTGGTTGAAAACAGGGAACTCTTCTCTTGGCCACCTTTCAACCTGGGTGAGTGACCCACTCAACCGCCAATGATTTGACAACCACGATACCCTTGTCTCCCTTTCCTGTACACTCCCATCAAGACTCATCTGATGCCTGGAAATAATCTGAAAACTACTCAAGCACAAGAGGACCATGGCATATATGCCCACTCAGGGCCTACCAGATGGTAAACTATAAGCCAGAAGGCCTCCTTTCCACTCACATCTCACCAAGGAGGGGGCTATAGGGGCTGTCAACCTGTGTTCACAACCTTCCAGCTTTTCTACCTGGTAACCAACTTTCCATCGGAAAGCCCTCTTCAGTAGTAACTGCCTGAAACAGAACCGGAGTGACTGTACACACACGGCACACAGAACCCAGAACAATGCCTGGTTGGTGCTAGAGTGGCTGTTACCTGTTGGCCAACCTGTCCCAGGAAGCTATGCTGCACAGAACTGTTTCCTGGTTCTGAGATTAACTGATCTTTGTAGTGGATGTTGCTATTAGCCTTAGTTTCAGTGCCTTACACATCTTATCATCTCACTGGTATTTAGGTATACAAAACAGTTGATTATTCAAAAATGCATTTCTGGTTTTCTGTATCTCATGTATTATATAAGAAAGTAGTAAGTAATAGGGAATTTTATTTATAGCATGAAAATAAAAACCTGGTGGCTTGATTCTAATTTCATGGCAAGTGTGTTTCTTTCTTCCTCCACTCCCCCTGTCTTTTAGCCAAAATGGATATTCCATATATACCAGCTCCTGTGGGAGGGAGAATTACAAGTACAGTAGAAAGAATGACAACAAATGTTTTGAAAACCTTGAAACAATTTATTGAGTTGCTTTATACAAGATTAACAATTTCCACACCACCCCCTAACACCAACGTAAGTCGCTGCACAAAAGCCACAGTCCCTTTCACACTTAAATGGCCACGTCTGGTAAGTGCTCAGAGACTTTCACCTGCCAGGAAACCCCTGCAGCACCCTGAGCGTGCTCTGCCCCACCCTCACACAGCCGGGCCAAGGATCCGCCTTGCCATGGCTGTTTAAGTCATTCACTCTTTCCTTACCACAAATAAAGCATAAACAAGAAAAAGAAGTCTCATAAACTCCCCATCAAAGAAACATTTCCCTGAGGCAAGAGGCATCACTAGATTCCTAAAGAGGAGGGCATCCTGCTCCAGCTGCACACTCAGTGGCACACAGGGAGGAGGGAGCACCAAGGCGGGAGGGGCTAGGGATGGGACCCGGGTGTTCACGGGCAGAGGAGCCTGCAGAGTTCCCACTGCTCAGTCTTCACTGACAGCCTCAGCTCAGCTTTGAGCTCAGCTATACAAATCTCTTCTTTGGCTCTTTTGCTACTACCTAAGACTATTTGTAAACAAACTGGAAATCCAAGTTGCAAAAAATAGATATAATAAAGGGATAAGGAATCCATGTGGCCCAATGTGAAACAGATTGGTTCTTACATACAAAAGGAGTCAGAGCAGAGGCCAGGCTGAACAGCTGACTGACAGAGGTCTCACTCCCAGGGAAGTGGCCAACCTCCATAGGAAGTGAGATCCTGACCATCGAAATCTGGGAGTCAGAAATCGGTAGGTATTCTTACTCAGGTATGCATGCTGAGGATGCTGACTGCTCTCAACAGCTGAAACTGCTTACTGGGCAGTCGGACTCACCTGTGGCACTCAACAGGCCAGGTAAGGGCCCCCACAGCCCTGTGAAATGGCCACTGGTTGAGTCTGAGCAGCCTGGAGATGGGAGCTCTGCAGTCACTGTCCTCACCTGTCTCAGATCCACTCTCCAGGTTCTCTGCACACCCCCCACCCCAAGTCAACACTGAGCCCCACCGCCCCGAGAGCTCCAGCACCTCAAGGCCTGTTCTGCGCAGCAGACACTTCACAGAGGCCTGTTCCTGCAGCTCTGCCTAAGAAGAGTTTCTAAGAATAAGAAACTGGAATGTCTACCTGCGACTTGGAACCCTTTCGAAACCCCTTGTCTCCTCAGCCCTTACACATGAAGGGTTTTGGGGGCTCCTCTGCAATCCACCTGCACCAACTCTGCAGAAACAAAATGAAAACCCTGGCTCAACTGGGACCTGGGATTTGGGGGCCCAGGTGACCTTCAAGTCAGGATGGCACAGGTTAGGATGTGCAGCCATAAAAAAACTCAAAACTGATGATGTCTTAGATACAGACATATCTTTTAAAAAGGTTTTCATCTCAGATCCACTTGGGGCTGAATGGATGTGTGTTGTCGAATTCTGCTCCACCATAAAGGCACTGGGATTATGTCTTCCTATAATGTGATGTGTGAAGAGCAGTCCCACTCTATCCAATGCATTTAATGGTAATGACGAAAACTGAGCCCCAAGATATGTATCTTTAAAAACCCTACCACAATTGCTGAATCTACAAAAGTCTTTTCTCTATAAGAGCTTCATTGTCATGTTCAGAGGAGAAACCGGCCCCCCCCCACAAAGAGCACACAACATGTGTTCTTAGTATTTTACAAGCAGACAAGGTAGGTTTCCCACCTGTGGCTCTGGCCCAGGTCTTGTCCTCTTGAGTATACAGGCTGGGGATGGGATACTGCTGTGACCATCCAGGGATCCTACTGTGGCCAGAAGGAGCTCCTGCTCAGTAAGGCTCAGACCAAATGCCAGGGATTGGGCAGATCTAAAACAGCTGTGCCAACTGATCTACCACCACCAGAGCTCCCAACATGGCCCAGCATACTTCCCAGCCCAGAGCTGCCCTCTGATGACTGTCCAGTGATAAGGCCACACGGCCCAGAGCACCAGGTCATAAGTGCTTCATGAGCAACATAAGCCGCTCACTTAGTTGGAGGCACATCAGAAGTGCCAAGAAGTGCTCCACTTACAATTCACGCCTGCTCCAGGAGAAAACCAGTAGGCAGAAAGAGTGCAGTCAATGTCCATCATCTGAGACCTATATGTTCAGCTTCCACCCAGACCTAAGTCAGTCAAGTCTATCCTCTGAAGCAATCACAATTTCCGTGGTACACCAGGCCCTTTCCCGTGAAGCTGAGAAGCATCTGGAAAATAAGCAAGAAAATAATGAAAACTTTTCAGGAACTCTGATTCCTTTAGGGCAGCATAACCAAACCTCAGAGGGGGTCATATAAGTAGCAAACATCCCCACGTGTTTTAAGGCTCAAACAACCCATGGAACACGTGACAGTGGTTGCGTACACTGCTTCTTGCAGCAGCTGGCTGCATGCATGGGCAGTAAGCACTATGCAGGCAGGCGGCTGCTCAGCACGGTGCACAGAATAGCAACTTGGGCTACTTTACATCTTGTGTGACAAATGCCACTCCACACTGAGACCTGAAGATCACAGAGAACTCAGAGTGGCAAGAATCATTTTCTTACCATTAGAAGACCCTTGGGTAACTACAGGACTAAGTGCAAAGACAATGGCATCCTGAGTTAATGCAGGGAGGAGGGGAAAGCAAAGCAGAGCAGATAAGAAGGCACAGCCCAACACTGTGACACAGAGCTTTCCCTGACAGCCCTTCCATCCCACAACCTAAAGCCAAAGCACAGCCTAGGAAGAGCAGAAAGTTCACCTGCAGCACTAGTGATAGTTCAGCTGTTCTGCTTTTGAATACCCACAGGGAAAACAAAAAAATGGTATTTTAAAAAAGCAACTTTTTTCCTCCTATTTTATGGCTGAACATACCACAGACCCATCGTTTGTTTCTAGTGACTCTTCAATTATTTTGTCCCTCAAGAGAAATGATCCCCAGAGCAAGCAGAGGTGGGGTCGTGTGAACATGACTCCTACCTTGGTAGCTCTGGAAATGCTTACACTATATGAACCTCCAGTGGACACTTCACGCATGTTTCTGCTGTGCCAGAGGAAGAAGAGTGCCTACAGACACAAACTTAGTCCCTCAGAGAGGCCCTGTTTCCATCTGGAGATCTATAAAACCCATTCTTGCCCCCAGACAGCCTGTGGCATTCACTACAGAAGCTTCAGCCTCCTGACTTATTCCCTCATCTTACTACCATCTCAAGTTACCAGGTTCAATTCCTACCAGGATGGCTCTCTCCTTACCAGTGTAGCCCTAGGGTATGCTGGGAGCAGGTCTAGAACAGTTAAAGATATGAGGTCAAAACCAAGATACCTCAGGTCTCTCACATCAGAATCCATGAGGTGTGTGTACCCAAAAATCAAGCACCCAGGACAGCATGAGGCAGGTCCACAAGGTGCCCCCCAGGGCACATGTGCCTACTCCTTGTGTTCCCAAGATAGCTACACATCTAGGGCTCTTAGGACTCCTACTTCCAGAAACACCACTGTGCATGGAGAGGCGGGTGGCCTCATTGCTGGTGTGCACCCAAAACTGTTTCCATGAAGGTTTTTACATATAGCCAGAATGAAAGCTGCTTCTCTTCTTGGGTCCACGCCACTAAAGGTAAGCTGTTCTTCCCCATGGTCTTGTATGGTCGCCTCTCAGCATTCTGTGGATTTTCCTTTTATGAAAACTAGGTATGGAGAGCTTCTATTAACATACAAGGCCAGGAAGGTGCACTACTTCACTGTGAAGGCCCTGGAGTGCTCACTGGCCCTTGGAAGCAATCTACCATTACTTCCTTTCTAGTTGAAGAGAAAAGGGCACGCTAAGGATAAAGAGAGCCTCTGCCTCTCAGGTCTCACAACTTTCTGCACTCAGGGCTCTGGCAAGGCTGACCTAGCAGCCATTACAAGTGCAGATAAAGGGAAGACTTGAAACGGTAAAGGCCCACAAAGCCAGAGCACTGAAGGACAAGCAAGACAACACCACAGTGATGACAAAGCAAAGACACAGAAAGCCCTGGTAGCAGATACCGCATGTAGGAGTAATGGGGAACAGCACGCAGAGCACATGACATGCTGCCTGTCTAGCAATTACCTGGCAGACTCTGTGGGACATGGGTGGACACAGCAGCGTGTGGGAGAGGCGCTGCATGGGGTGGGCTGGAGTGCAAGCCAGCCAGGAGACCTGAGAGAAACAGGAGGGAAGAGAACAAAAGACACACATTGAAGACAGAACAGAAAAATGGAGCTACAGCCATCAAGAGTCCCAGATGACCTACAATCTGGAAGCCAAACCCCAAGAGAGGGGCTCAGCACACTCTTGGGATGTTCCCCATGGTCACATCAGACACACAGCAGGATCCACAGCACACCACAGCACAGGGACAGAGTAGAAATAAGACTTACTGTGGCTCAGGCCATGGTGGAAGGTCCCTGGGGCTGGGCCTGTGACAATGGCATCCTTGGAGACCCCTGCTTTGGGAGAGGAGTCCGCACTGAAGGAGAGCACGTGGAGTGGAAATGGGACAGGGGCTATGATCCCCAGTGAGTTAGAGTTCATGGCCCCAGGCAGCTTGGGGCTGCTGGACTTGTAGGATGAAGACAGCAGGTTTAAGGGAGAGGAGCTGGTCAGCAGCACAGCCCCACCTGTTCCTTTCTGGGGAGGAAACACAGCCACATGGTCAGAACACTCATCCTATTCACAGCTCACTCTAACCAACCCTGTTCATATGTGGGATACAAACATACTCATCAAATGCCTCTGGGCAATCCTACTCTGCAGCCTAAAAGAGAAGAGTAAGTATAGTCTCTAACCGGCATGGAATAATTTCTTTAAAAAGCAGGATACTAAATGTGTCTC